GTTGGTGGATAAACGGGGTCAACACTCCCGCGCACATCCTGACAATTCCCGCGTCCACCCTGTCAAGCCCAGGCGCACGGCCCGTTCGAAGGCTACTCATGGCTCGGACCACCTCTTCTTCGGTCCAACAGTCAGTCTGCCCGTCTACTGTGATATTCGCCGCCCTATTTCTTAAGGTCCGGTGTTTTTCATCGTCATCTGTTACCGTATCCTTGGGAAAGGCTTCTTCAAGTAGTGCGAGTCTTGCAGCACGCATGCCTTCCTGTCCACGCGCAAACGGCTCTCCAGCCATTCTACTAGCTATTTTTCCTCTAGCGATTTTTAGGTGGAGGCCCCACTTGTTAGTCGCGTCCTCCAAGCGGCGCCAGGTTTTCCTTTTTGAGCGGCGTAACTCTTTTCTAAACTTGTTCTTCGCTTCATGGTAGGCGGTTCGACACGCCTCTCGCTCCTCCGGGTCCCGACTGCGGTGGTAGGCTCGCCTCGCGTGCTGAGCCGCGGCTTTGCAATCAGCCACGGGCGCTGTCCACCACACCGGTCCCCTAAGGCCCACGGCGGGGCGACTCGCCCTATCGGCGTTGTCTATGAGGGCCGTTGTCATTATAGCCACCTTCTCGTCAATCTCGAGTTTGTTAGCGGCTGGCCAAAGGAGGGTGGTCCCTTCTTGCAAGAGGTCGCCTTCTACCAATTTTACCAGCACTTTTGTGTCAATGGAAGCCGTGTTTATGCGTCTTTTTTCTGTTTTGCGCCGGCCCGGTTCGCTTGGGCTCACATCGTACCGGATCCATGCATGGTCGCTGGTAGTCGCAATTGTATCGATGAGGAATCCGTTTGTCCTACGACGTAGGGACGGGGTCATCAAGACAAGATCAACGGCCGACTCGCCCTGAGAAGCACTATATGTCGGCGGAGAATCCTCGGTGTTTAGGATCAACAGGTCTTTATCCTCAGTAAATTCAATTATGGCTTGTCCTCGCGTATCAACTCGCCTATCTCCCCATGCGGCATGGTGACTATTAAAATCACCTCCTAAGATGACATTTTTTCCCCTATGCCTGTCCAAAAGGAGGCAAATCCGGGAGATATCCTGCACGTTACGCAGCCGGTCACAGTAGGCCGAGGCGATCACGATCTCTTCATCATCTCGTTGTATCAGGCAGCAGGCCAGGTCACCGGTAGTCTCCTCAAGCGACATAGCCTTGATCCCTTTGTCTAACACATACACCACTGCCCTCGTCAAGCCCGAGTCACGACTTCTGACGACCCTCGCTGTCAATCCGATGGCTTTATCGATTCCGCGGGTCCACGGTTCCTGGACAAGGAGGACGTGGATCCCCTGCTGATGGGCTAATGCGCGAACCTCAGCCATGACCTCCTCCGATTTGTGGCAATTAATCTGGGCAAACTTTATCTCATTCCTTTGGGGGCTAATCATTGTTCGTCTAGGTGAGGGGTGTCATTTTCTATTGTGTCTGTATCCATGACTCCCATGGCTCCATCACTTTTGCCTTGGGCCGTAAGGCTCTGGTGTTTTTCGCCCGTATCCGAGGCTTCCCCATGGTCTGTGGTGCACCATGCTCTAGCGATTGCTCGCGCGTGGGCCTCACAGTGCAAAGAACCCACTGGGTGGCCACTGGTCTTACCCGCACGGTGGCAATGCACGCACCGCGTCCTCTCTCGTGGGCATTGGCGCGTGTCGTGAACGTCAGCGCAGATGCCGCATACGGGATCTTTTTTGGGGCACACCGCTGCTACATGCCCGTACAACTGGCAATTATAACATCGGGTAACCCCTGTATAGTCCTTTAGTATGCATACCTGGTAATTCAGGTAAGCCTTGCCTCTTTCCGTCGCGGCTTTCCATGTACGTGGATCGACTTCGACCACCCAGGAGACGTGCGTCGATTCTTCCCTGGTGCCGGTACCATACTTTAATGTGAACAGTGGTCTAACATTGGCTCTTTCCCATGTTTCGTGCTGGCCATTGTTCGCACATAACTGGTCTGACAACTCCTGCGGCTGGATCTCTTTTGGGACTCTCAGTATCAGGATCCTGGGATTGCGCTTGCCCGCCGTCCGAGCATTGAGGCCAGCTTGGTCGAACGGCTTCGTTCGCTAGCAGGGTTTGCCTGTCACCAGGGGCTTCCACTTTGACTGCTACGCCGCCTTTCGCCGTTATTCTTATATCATCAATGAGGATGCGCGTCACCCTGGGATTGATGATTTCTTTTACTTTTTTAAGGACCTCCTGGGAGTCCGTTTTTTCACGCGGATCGATGAAGACTATTTTAGTGCGATTCTCGGCCTCTTCTTTCGCTTTTTGCAATAACGTGGCTCTATCTTGGGCAGGTTTGCTCTTTACAGCAGGTTTGGGGTGTTCTTTGTTCTTCATATTCCTCTTAACCACTGTGACCCACTGGTCGTCGGTCTCAGGTAGGCGCGAAGTTTCTTCTACGTGGCCTGTTGTGTCCTTGATTTTCGGTAATTTCCTTTTTACTACGGTGGTCCAAGAGGTCGGTTGTATCTCTGAGTTGTTTATTATTGAGGGGGTGATGAGGGTAGGGTTTTTGCTTGTTGATGGCTGTGGTCGTTTGAGGTGTTCTGGTACGTTTTTGATTATAGGTGTCAGGGCTTTGGTCATTTCTTGTACTAAATTATTTGTGTTTATGGGTGCGTTTTCTGTTTTCCCTTTCAGGAAGGTGTTTTCGATTGTTAGTTCATTCAAGAAACAGATTAGCTGATCAGTTAAGTGTATTATATGCGCAGTAGCCGGTTTAGGGCATTTGTTATTAGGCTCAATCAGATATTGGCAATTTGCTCTCTAATATGATGAGCCGTTTTTTGATTAACTTCTAATGCGCCGCATAGGTGACCATTTACCTCGATTTGCTCGATTTTCTTCCTTTTAATTTTATGGTCGGAATCGCTGGTGATAGATGTATCCGATAACGATGAATTATCTTTTGGTGGTATTTTGGCTTTAATTGCTTGCTTGTTAATAGGTTTTGGAATGGCAGTTGTATTCGAACTGTTACTTCCCGTTGCACTCGCAGTCCAGGGAGGGCGAGTTTTTTCAGGTGGGGCCATTGTACATTTATTTCTTGGAGTATTTCAATAACTCAAGTATTATTATTAGTAAATTTAATGAATTAAAGAAATAAGAATTTGTGTCTAGATGTAAAATCAGCTGGCAGAGGTAAAAAGGGAAAAAGGGAAAGGGAAAATCAAAATTTGCAGGGATTTTTCCCCGTTTCAGCGATAAACAATATATCAGCTGAAAGGGAAAAAGGAAAAGGGAAAATTTCCCTCTGCGAACGGTAGCAGAAATCAGCTGGGAGGGAATTAATTGGAGGGAAAATGAAAATCAAGTGGGAAATATTCCCTGCCCGTTGCTAAGCGGTTTTGTTGCTAATAACAAACCGAAATAAAATACGATGAATTCAGTAACAAAACCGAATATAGGATAGTCCTACCTGTAATTTTCTTGTAGAACAGTGCAAAATCCTGAAGCTTGTTGAAAGTCGGACAGTTTCCACCCACTCACAGGCAAAACAGGCTACTTCAACCAACTTAAAATTCCGATTCAACACAGAGCTACAATACAGCGTGTTCACTCGGCAAAATCCGACACGAGACTGCCCAAGGAGATCCAGCCGAGGATCTCTCAGAGCAATTGTGTGCTAATAATGGCCGGTAGGAGGCCTGGGAAAAGGCCAACATTCGACCACTCTTTACCCTAAAGTATGGCACTGGCACAAGAGAGGAGTCCCCGTACCTATCCTGGGTAGTTGAGGTGGACCCCCGCACATGGAAGGACGTAACAACCCGAGGCAAAGCCTACCTGGATTACCAGGTGTGCATAGCCAAGGATTACACAGGAGTTACTCGCTGTTACAATTGCCAGCAGTGTGGGCATGTAGCGGCGGCGTGCCCGAAAAAAGATCCGGTTTGTGGCATCTGTGCTGATACCCACGACACACGGCAGTGCCCGCGTGAAGTGACACGGTGTGTTCATTGTCATCACTCGGGCAAAAATAGCAACCATTATGTGGGTTCCCTAAAATGCGAGGCACACCTGCGAGTCATTGCAAGAGCCTGGTGTGCCACGGACCGTGGCGGAGCCTCGGAAACCGACGTGAAGCACCAGACCCCCGCCGATCAAGGCAAACAAGACACGGCCCTTGGAGCCATGGACAAGGACGCTATAGAAGAAGGCACCGCCTTAATGGCTGAGCAATGATGGACAATTGCCGCCAAAAATGCGAAGTAAAAATTGCCCAGATAAATTGTCATAAATCTGAGGCAGTCATGGCTGAAGTTCGTACTTTGGCCTACCAGCAAGGAATCCACGTCCTCCTCGTTCAGGAACCCTGGAGCCGAGGAGTTGATAAAGCCGTGGGGCTGATGGCGAGAGGTCCGGTTTGACGTGAGCCTAAAAGAATCGTGTCGGCAAAAAATAAGGAAGCTAAAAGTAAATGTGGCCTCTATCAACTCAAAAATTTATGTAAAAATGGTAGAAGGCGACCTCTTACAAGAGGGGACCACTCTCCTCTGGCCGACTAGCAATAAACAAGAGGTTGATGAGAAAGTGGCCATTATTACAACGGCGCTCACAGATAATGCGGACAGAGCGAGCCGCCCTGCCCCGGGCCAACGAGGACCGGTGTGGTGGACACTGGCCGTGACTGAGTGCAAAGCTGCTGCCCAACGCTGGAGACGAGCCTACCACCGTAGCCGTGACCCGGCGCAACGAGAGGCTTGCCTAGCTGCCTACCACGAGGCGAAGAATATATTCAGGAAAGAGCTGCGCCGCTCAAAAAGGAAAACTTGGCGCCGCTTCGTGGAGGAAGAGAACGCGGCCAATAAGTGAGATCTCCACTTTAAAGTCGCCAGCGGAAAAAAAGTAGAATGGCCGGAGAGCCGTTTAACCGTGGCCATGAGGGAATGCGAGATGCAGGACTGGCCCTACTAGAAGAAGCCTTCCCGAAGGACACAGCCACGATGATGAAGAAGAGCACCGGACTGTAAGAACTAGGGCGGCCAACATAGCGGTGGACGGGAGGACGGATTCGTGGACCGAAGAAGAGGTGGTCCGTGCCATGGGGAGCCTCCGAACAGGCCGCGCGCCTGGGTTTGACCGAGTGGACGCGGGGGTCGTTAAAATGTGTACAGGTGTACTGACGCAGTTCATCCACCAATTAATGGTGGACTGTTTAAGATCAGGATACTTTCCCTCAGCGTGGAAAATAGCACGGGTTTGCGCATTCCTCAAGGCGGGGAGGCCGGTTGATCTCCCTGGGTCGTACCGGATGATATCCCTCCTGTCGGTCTTGGGGAAGACACTGGAGCAGTTGATACTGGCAAGACTTCAATTCGCCCTTGGCTCGGGCCTGCACCCAGGCCAGTTCGGTGGCGTACCAGGACGGAGTAAGTCCCATGCAGCTCGAGAGATTGCTGACCTGGCGACGAATTCGACCTCACGTTATGTGGTCGCCATATTGTTTTGACGTCAAGAAGGCTTTTGACGGGATGTGGTGGCCGGCCGTCATTGACAGTTTTATCAGCCGCCACCTCGATAACGATATATGCGCCCTGGTTAGCAATTACCTTAACGACCGGCGGGTAATATTACCCGAGTATGGACGGGACTGTGAGCGGCAGGCTGAAATGGGGATACCCCAGGGATCCGTCCTCGGCCCGTTCCTCTGGTCCCTGCTCTTTGATGGGGCACTGAGGAAGCTGGTAAGCGCGGGCCTCAATGCAGTTGCCTACGTGGACGGCTTGGCAGTTGTGATCCATGCCAACACGAAAGCAGGAATAGAAGCACAAGGTCGCACAGCGGTTGCTGGTTTGACTGGATGGTGCAGGCGAGTTAAGTTGAGCCTGGCACCAGAAAAGTCTGAGTGCTCCTGAAACTTAAATATGCGGTCGCCTTCAGTCATAAAAATTGACGGGCAATCTATTAGGGCACCACCTGTCGTCACCTACTCGGGAGTCAAGATGTCTACAGGATTAAAATTCGGAGCCAACGCCCGGTACACAAGAGAGAAAATTCCAGCACGAGTTGCTGTCGTAAGGGCAATGTGTGGTGCGGCATGGGGCGTCTCCTACCGAAGTCGTCAAATTTACTATTCGGCATTGTGTCAGTCGGTTCTCCTGTACGCAGCCCCTGCGTGGGTACGAGGGCTACGTGCCGCCGACTGGGCAATAGCCTTGAGCGCCCAGAGAACGGCGCTGTTAGCCGTAACACAAGCGTTTCGGACGACATCCACAGACGCCCTCCAGGTCATAGCCGGCAGGCCACCGCTCGATCTGCAGGCGAGGGCACTGTCCGCTGCCTGGGAGGTGGCAAACGGTCATTAGCCTAATATCCCCATAAGCAATGAACAGGATGCGAACATATGGATGCTTGAGGAGTGGCAGCGCCGGTGGGATAGGTCAGCCAAAGCGTCCCGAGCGTAGCAAGGAGATTAGAAGCAAAGCATGTCCATGTGGACCATTACATAGCGCAACTCTTAACGGGGCATGGCGACTTTTCAGCCAAATTGTTTAGATTTGGCCTAAAGACCAGCCCATTATGCCCCTGCGGACACGAGGAGCCAGCTGAACACGTTGTTTCAAGGTGCGAAATGTATAGCATCCCTCGAACTAGATGGCTGTTTGAAACGAATACCGAGGTAGTTAACATCAATTCATTGCAAGGGATCGTTGCTAGACCAGATGGCTTTAAGGCCACCATGAGATATTGGAAGGCCATAATGCGGCAAAAAGGCTGGCCTGCTTAGTAAGCAGTGACGCCTAAACATCATGCCATAGCTACCGAGATAGCCACATTGCTCTTCCCCCATGTTCTAGCCGGACCTCCGCGTGGCTCATCCTGGGGGTGCCATATTGGCACCGCTAAGTTCCGGTGGGGGAATCTGAGCCACGGCCAATAGGCAGAGAAAGCCAAAACGTCACCTGCAAAGCCCTCTCAAGGGCCTAGAAGCGGGACACGAATAGAAAAGACCTAGTGGTCTAAAAAAGTGTCCCAGCTCCCTCAATTTCCCTCTACTTATATGTTATCAGTCTAAAAATAGTTATATGAAATGAAAGATGGGATTTTTATTGGTTATTCGTTACATGATACCTGGCAAGAGTAACTTGTTTATCCCTTGATTTTTGTTAAGACAAAATAGGTTATATATTGGTTATCCGGTTAAAAATCATTGTTATATACAATGAATGGTAGGTTATATATTGGCTTTACATCGGTACAATACAAGTAACGAAATGTTACTCCGTTAGGAGAAAGTAGGTTATATGCTGGCTATTCAAAAATACTTTAACTGGGTTCATCAATTAACCGTTGGTTATAAAAAAAATTTAGGTTATGTTCTGGTAATCTGGCAAAAGTGCTTTGTTATTTTCTGAATAATGGTTTTCTACTGGTTATAAAACTATAAGTAATATGAAATCTTCACTGAACAAACTGGATGAATCTATGAAAAGTAGGAGGCATAATGGTTATGAGTGTTGATAAGGTAAGGTGTAGCGTATTAGTTATCGGTTTGGATCAGATAGGTAATGTGCTATTTCCCAATTTGGTTGGGATGATGTTGGGTTATGTGTTGTTTATCAAGCAGAAAAACAATTTAGTGCGTGATATGCTACTAAACTATTAGGTTTCATATAAAACCTATTGGCTAAGGTTATTTTAACAATCGTTTATTGGCTATCTATCACACTTGCTTGGTTTGAATTCCTTTCAAAAATAGGTTATTTATTGGTTATTGCGATAAGTAAAGTAACATATTAGTTATCAATTTGGAGAAGGTTATGATTTGGTTATCCTTCAGGCGAAAGTAGCCGGGCGGTTGTTCTATAGAAAGTGGGTTATTCGTTAAAAGATACGTTATGTACTGCATTCCTTTGTCCATCTACAAGTTTGTACATTTATAAAGAGGTAGGGTTTTCATTGGTTGTTCATTTCCAAATTGAGTAGGTTATTTAAAGGTTATCAAATGGGAAAAGGTAAGTTATGCGTTGGTATAATAAGAAGGTAGGTAAACCTATAAATATTAATTATTATAACAATATTAAACATTAATTGTTAATATGTAAATATTTAATGGTTATCCGAATAAAGTCAACACTAAAAATTTGAATGTAGGAAATTTCCTGAGGACAGTCCTCCAGAAGGCGAACCGAGGTTCAGAGGTTGAAAGAGGTGTGCGACCAGTTCCCGGACGAGAAGGTGGTCGGCTTTTACGAGTTCATCCGTCCAGCCCTGGTCATCAAAGACGCCGAATACGTCGAGGCGGTACTCATCAAAGACTTTCCTCATTTTGTGGACCATGGATTCGACATCAACGAGACGACGAACCCGCTTGACGTCAACCTTTTCACCATGACCGGAAAAAGGTAAGCCTTCCATTGTGAAAATTTGGTGTCATGCACTCACTGTTGCTTTTTTGTAAAGGTGGAGAGCTTACAGAAACAAGCTTTCACCGATATTCACAACAGTGAAGTTGAAATCCATGTACGGACTTATGACGGACATAGCTAACAATTTAATGAAAGCTATAGACAGAGAGAAAACGGAATGTCTGGAGTTGAAAGACGTCCTGGGACGTTTCTCCATGGACGTGATCGGTTCTTTCGCGTTCGGCATGGACGCCAACACCCTGGCCGATCCCGAGTCTAAATTCAGAAAAATGGGGAAAAAAACCTTCGATTTCAACTTCAAACAATTCCTCAAGTTCATGTTTATTTCCAACTTCCCAGAATTTTCCAAGAAATACGGCCAGTCTTTCAGCCGTAAAGACGTCCAGCATTATTTCGTCAACGTCATCAAGGACACGATTGACTACAGGGTGGAGAAGAAAGTCCGGAGGAACGACTTCCTCGACCTCATGCTCCAGCTCAGGGAGAAAGGTTCCGTGGAAATAACGACGAAAGACCCCAGCGATGATTACCCGGCGATAAGCAATGAGACGTACACGACAGACAAATTTGGTAGGCTATCACAAGACGACACGAACCATTACCATAAATGATAAATGGAAAATACAGGTTACACGTTTATCAGGTGGTTATCGTTACTAAGTGGCATTATTACCTATACGGAAAAACGATCACTAACACTCGTCTAACTAAACATCCGACTAAATCATTTACCATCATTTATAATGTATTACACCACCTTTACACCATAATCATTTATCATGTTTTCATTGAACTGTGAAAACTGGTGGAAAGTAGGTTATATGTAGGTTATCAAACAAAAAGATGAAAATGTTATTCATTCACTTTCTGTGAGTAGGAACTATCCTTTTAAAAAGTATGTTACTCATTTAGAAAAGATCAAAAATATATAAGGTATCCGGCGCGCTTGCTCCTTATTGTCTGAATAGTAGGTTTTCGATTGGTTATCCACTGGGGAAGAGTAGGTTATCAGAAAATAGTTTGTTTGAATATATTAATAAATGATAATTTATTGTGTATCCACATGGGAGGGTAAAGATGTTATTTATTGGTTAAACATGAACGACGTCCGGTATGATGGTTATCTGACAAGAATCGTCTGATATCTGAATGAAAAAAGGAGGTTATGCATTGGTTATCTGGAAATAATTTCGTTGGACTTACGTACAATTAACTTTGTATTGGTTTTCCACGAGGGATACAGATTGTGTAATGGTTATCTGGCATGAGTTGTTGGTTATTCTCCGAAGATTAGATTATTTATTGGTTTCTCATTGGGGTAAAAGGTTATGTATTGGTACCAGAGTATCGTTTGCTTGACTTTATCTATTAGTAGGAGGTGGTAGGTTATCCGTGGGGTGAATTAAGTATGTTTCGGTTATTCCTGAAAGGTAGTTTATTCAATGATTAACCATGAAACCAGTTTAACCAAGTTCAATTAAGGTAACCAATGAATAACCAACTAATCCAACTTTGTTATCAAGAAGAAAGGCTAGTCGCGCAAAGTGCAGGTTATTTACAGGTTATACTTAGAAAAACTTTCATAGATTATGAAATATAAAAACCAAACTTGATTTTTGTTTTAATTTTAGAAGTGACAGATGACCTGATGGTCGGGCAAGCTTTTGTCTTCCTCACGGCCGGTTTCGAAGCGACCGCTATAATTATGAACATGACATTTTACCAACTGTCCAAGAATCCCGGGATACAGGAACGAGTCAGGGAGGAGATAAATGAGAAAGTACGCGAATACGGCAGCCTCAGCTTCGACTCCGTCAAGGATATGACCTACCTGGACATGTGCTTGAAAGAGACAATGAGGATGTACCCGCCGGCCCAGGTCCTCTTCAGGACCTGCACGAAAGAGTATACATTTAGCAACGGCCTCGTCGTCAAACCGGGCGAGAAATTGATCATCCCGGTTTTCGCAATTCATCGCAGCGGTGAGTACTACCCTGACCCGATGAGGTTCGACCCTGAACGCTTCGGCCCCGATGTCTTCCAGCGGCCGTGCACTTTCTTGCCTTTCGGCGAAGGTCCGAGGGGCTGCATAGGTAACCGAAATGATTTATTTAAAAAAATTATAATTAATTGAATGCGTTTTCCAGCGATGAGGTTCGCGATACAACAGATGAAATTCGGCCTTGCAAAGGCCCTCATGTCCTACAAGATCAAAGTCAACCCCAAAACAAAAGAACCGATTGAACTCAATAAAAAATCTTTAGTCACCACTACAAAATACCCGATTTACATCGACCTCGAAGTGATTTCTTCTTAAACCTAAAACAGGATATTTTTCCTTTTTGTACGATTTTATCTTAAATACATAAGTTTATACCAAAGAGAAAATATGAAATCAATAAACACCAATGAGATGTACTTGTAAAAAAATCTACGAACAAGAACGCTTATTTATTGATTATTACTAAAAAACGTAGAGGTTATGCATTGGTATTAGGCTTGGCAGTTCTAAGAAAAGTAGGTCATTTACTAATTACAAGACGACACAGAAGCATTACAAGCATTTTCTATGGATATCAAGCGTTACGATAAAGAAACGTTTTCCATGGAGAGGTTACGTTTAGGATATAAAGCAAAAATTAGTTGCTTTACGATATCACTGAATGACTGGTTGAATGTACGAAAAGCAGGATACTTAATGTTTATCCCTTAAAGTAAAGTATGTAGTGTAATAGTTATCTTGGATGGAGCAGGTAGGTAATTTATTTGGTTATCCATTGAGTCATGTATGTTCTGTAATGGTTATCTGGCAAGAGTTGGCTATTCTCCTAATGAAGGTTATGAATTGATTATATGCCACAAGGTTACCCACATATAAAGAGGGATATAATTTACTGGTTATAAGCTGAGAAACGAACATTATACGAGTTCTCCATCGAGACGTTTAGGTTATCAAGTGAAAGTGTTTTTGTTTGATGTGTTCACTGAACTGACTGGATTAATCAATGGAAAGGTGGCTATTTAATGGTTATCTATTTAAGGCAGCATTTTATTAGCTATATATTTGGAGAACACGTTGGTTATCCGTCAGACAAAAAGTAGTTAGGTTGAATGTGCTATGAAAAGTACGTTTTTATTAATTACACCATCCCAGATGCTTAGTCAAAATGGAACCACCTTCGAAAATTTAGTCCACAACATACAAACTCACCCTCTTTTTGTCTAGACCTCCCGATTATCTCAATTTCCATTTTGTATCTCGTCTTCCGATCCTAATACAGTAAAATTACCAAATTTCTTCTTTTCTTTCCTTTTCTTGTCCAACCTCAGCTGATGTTAACGCTATATGAAAATCAAGAAGAGGATGAGAGAAAATCCTTTGATTCTATCCATCGTTCATAAAGACCATCTAAACTTGAAGTATTTTTCTTTTCCGACAGTCCCATGGTCCCACTGTTTCCTTACGTGCCGCTTTCAAACATTATTCATCAGCAACTATTCCTAATGGTCACATCCTCGTTCTTTTTCTTAACTTCAGGCGTTCTTCAAGGCTCTAGCATTTCCCGTGTTGTCGTCAGCATTTACTCCAATGACCATCCAGCGTTTTGATTACCACCTCTAAGCCGACGACTCCCAAATTTAAAAGTCCTTCCATTTCTCCGATCTACATTTGACTATCCACAGAATTCAGCAAGATCTGAATTCCATAAACGGTTGGGCACATAAAAACTACCTAGAATTAAATGCGAGAAAGTCCAAAGCTATTGTTATAAGACCACCACCTCAAATCACTCCCATCAGTCTTTTCACCATCAACAACTATTTCATTATGCTACCTTTGCCCGAAACCTTTCCTGGAAACCACTTCCATTCTTCTTCCAGATTTCCCGACGTTTTATTGCACCCGATATTCAATTCCGCCGGTCCTCCTTGCATCCTCGTACTTTTATTTCAAATTTTTCATTTCTTGTTCTTACCATTCATATTTGATTCGAATTAAGTTGCTAACCCCAATTGCTTAATAGAGTTTTTTCTTTCAACGAAAGTCTCTTCCATCGGAATGTTAATCATTGTGCAACCCACTGGACCCAAGGGCAACAGAAGTGATGTGGCCGAGTGGGGATTCGGGATGAATTTGGCCTCGCTTCAGGGTCCGTCTTTTCATTCGTTGACTGTCATGTCACCGGTGCTTGTTTCCCTCCTGGCCGTGGTGGCGTCCCTTCTCGCCTACGCCGTCTACAGGACGAAGAAGATCTACAGGACGTGGAAGGATCGAGGGGTGAAACACGAGGAGCCGGTGCTTTTCCTAGGTGAGATCACAGATAACGAGCTTTTCACCTTTCGTGCCATTTCGACGCATGAAGTGACGTTTAGACCGCCCATTTGATAAACTTGCAACTATCCCACTTCCGTACCAATTATGCCCCTATTGTATTTTAAAAAAAGGACACCCACGATGAACAAAAATACTACTAAAAACCAAGTTTAAAAGATCCATTCTGATTGTATTTAATGTTTACCACGTTTTTATGCATGTAGATTGATTTTATAACTTATTTAAAGTTTTTTTGTTTAAAAAAATTACTTTTCTTATAAAAACTATTTGGCCTAAGGTTATTCTAACAAAAGTAGGTTATTTATTGTAACTACCGGGACAGTAGGTTATATATTGGTAATCCATTGACAAGCTAGCTATTGGCCTTGTATTATTTATACGTATTTTTAGCGAAAATTTTTATGTGCTAATCGAAGAACTGTATTTGAACACTGAGAGAAGGTTATTTTACCGTTACGTAGCGAAAGTAGTTTGTTGTTTTCTTAATTCTTAGACAAAAACAAATTTCAATTTTCAATTTAATAATTCGAAATAAAATAAATTTTAAATTTATAATTTTTTTTTACTAGGGTTCGCAACAGCAGAGGTCATATAAACCCTCAGGGTGCCGGTATTTTTGTTTAAAAAAAAAGGCCATTTGTAAGTATGATGGGTTCGAATGCAGGGCCACTGGATTCAAACCCAGGAACTTTGCCTTACAGTGATGAGCGCCGTGTCAATTCCTAATCCGTTACGGCCACCGACGCCCCTTTAAAAATCTTGAAAAAAAATTATTCCGAGTAAACTGTAAAGAGTGGGTGACTTGGGGATACGAGATGAATTAGTTGAAAAATAAGGTTATTCTAGGAAAAACAGGATATTTATTGCAGTTCAATTGAAACAAGAAGGTTATGTTATGGTTGCTTAGCACAAGTAGTTTGTTGTTCTTTAGAATGGTAAGTTATTTGATCGGAGAAGTAGGTTATGCACGGGTTATTCGGCTAAACGGTAGTTTTCTATACACAATGGTGGGTTACTTATTGGTTATCTGTGGAGAGCGGAAGTAGGTTACTATGCAGTGTCATACAATAGTAAAAGCTAGATTATTGGCGTTGTACACTTTTATAGAAAAGTTGTTAAAGTGGTTATTAGACAAACAGCAGAGATCGATTATGTATCGTGTATCTCAAAAAAATTCCTACAAGTAAACCGCAAAGAATAGTTGCTAGTTTACGTAAGAATTAATGGAAAAATATGATTATTTATGGTTATTCTATTGATTACAAGGTTAATCATTAAGAAAAAGTAGATTACGTATGTGTTATCCGTCTAAAAATAGTTATATGAAATGAAAGATAGGATATTTATTGGTTATTCGTTACATGATGCCTAGCAAGAGTAACTTGTTGATCCCTTGATGTTTGTTGAGATAAAGTAGGCTATATATTGGTTATGATGTTAAAAATCATTTTTTATATACAATGACTGGTAGGTAGTTTATTGGATTTACAAGTTATGTAATATTACTCAGTTAGGAGAAAGTAGGTTATGTACTGGTTATACAAAAATACTTTAACTGGCTTTATCAATTAACCGTACGTTATTTATAGTTAGCTATAAGAAAATTTAGTTTATGTTATGGTAATGTAACAAAAGTACTTTGTTATTCTCTGAATAATTGTTATGCAATGGTTACGAAAAGATAAGTTTTGAATTTTCATTGAACAAACTGGATGAATTTAGGAAAAGTAGGTTATTTAATGGTTATGCGTGTCATTAAGGTAAGGTAAGGTAATAGTTATCAGTTTGGATCAGATTGGTAATGTGCTAGTTCCCCATTTTGAAAAAGCAGGTTATGTCCTGAATCCGTTAATAGACGGTAGGTTATGTGTTGTTCATCAAGCGGAAAAACAATTTAGTGCGTCATATGCTACTAAACTATTAGCTTTCATATAAAAAAACTATTTGGGCTAAGGTTATTCTAACAAACGTTTATTCATTATCTATCAGACTTGCTTAGTTTGATTTACGTTAAAAATAGGTCATTGTGATAAGGAAAGTTACATATTAGTTATCAATTTGGAGAAGGTTATGATATGGTTCAGGCGAAAGTAGCCGGGCAATTATTCTATAGAAAGTGGGTTATTCGTTAAAAGATACATTATGCACTGCATTCCTTTGTCCATCTATAAGTTTATACATTATAAAGAGGGGTTTTTTTCATTGATTGTTGATTTATAAATTGACTAGGTTATTTAAAGGTTATCAAATGGGAAAAGATAAGTTATGCATTGGTATAAAAAGAAGGTAGGTAAAACAATAAATATTAATCATTATAACAATATTAAACATTAATTAAATAATAAAACGTTAATATATAAATATTTAATGGTTATCCGAATAAAGTCGACACTAAAAATTTGAATTGTAGGAAATTTCCTGAGGACAGTCCTCCAGAAGGCGAACCAAGGCGAAAGGTTGAAAGAGGTGTGTGACCAGTTCCCGGACGAGAAGGTGGTCGGCTTTTATGAGTTCATCCGTCCATCCTTAGTCATCAAAGACGCCGAATACGTCGAGGCGGTCCTCATCAAAGACTTTCCTCATTTTGTGGACCATGGATTCGAAATCAACGAGACGACGAATGCGCTTGAAGTCAGCCTTTTCACTATGACGGGAAAAAGGTGAGGCTTCCTTTATGAAACTTTTTGTGTCATGCACTCAGTGTTGCTTTTTTTGTAAAGGTGGAGAGCTTACAGAAACAAGCTTTCGCCGATATTCACAACAGGGAAGTTGAAATCCATGTACGGACTTATGACGGACATAGCTAACAATTTAATGAAAGCTATAGACAGAGAGAAAACGGAATGTCTGGAGTTGAAAGACGTCCTGGGACGTTTCTCCATGGACGTGATCGGTTCTTTCGCGTTCGGCATGGACGCCAACACCCTGGCCGATCCCGAGTGTAAATTCAGAAAAATGGGGAAAAAAACCTTCGATTTCAACTTCAAACAATTCCTCAAGTTCATGTTTATAACCAACTTCCCAGGAATTTCCAAGAAATACGGCTTGCCTTTCAACCCTAAAGACATCCGGGATTATTTCGTCAACGTCATAAAGGACACGATTGACTACAGGGTGGAAAAGAAAGTCCGGAGGAACGATTTCCTCGACCTCATGCTCCAGCTCAGGGAGAAAGGTTCCGTGGAAATAACGACGAAAGACCCCAGCGATGATTACCTGGCGATCAGCAATGAGACGTACACGACAGACAAATTTGGTAAGCTATCACAAGACGACACGAACCATTACCATAAATTATAAATGGAAAATACAGGTTACACGTTTATCAGGTGGTTATCGTTACAAAGTGACATTATTACCTATTCGGAAACACGATCACTAATACTCGTCTACCTTCACATCCGATTAAATCATTTACATCCAATCTGGAAGGACATTGATCTGTGAAAACCGGTGGAAAGTAGGTTATATGTAGGTTATCAAACAAAAAGATGAAAACGTTATTCATTTAGGAAAGATCAAACATATATAAGGTATCCGGCGCGCTTGTCCCTTATTATCTGAATAGTAGGTTTTTGATTGGTTATCCGCTGGGGAAGAGTAGGTTATCAGAAAATAGTTTGTTTGAATAAATTAATAAATGATAATTTGTTGTGTATCCACATGGGGAGTAAGGAGGTTATTTATTGGTTAAAAATGAACGACGTCCGGTAGGATGGTTATCTGACAAGAATCGTCTGATATTATCTGAATGAAAAAGGAGGTTATGCATTGGTTATCTGGAAATAATTTCGTTGGACTTATATACAATTAACTTTGTATTGGTTTTCCACGAGGGATACAGATTGTGTAATGGTTATCTGGCATGAGTTGTTGGTTATTCTCAGAAGAATAGGTTATTTGTTGGTTTTTCATTGGGGTAAAAGGTTACGTATTGGTACCAGAGTATCGTTTGCTTGGCTTTATCTATTAGTAGGAGGTGGTAGGTTATCCGTGGGGTGATGTAATGTTTGGTTATTCTCTCAAAGGTAGTTTATTCAATGATTAACCATGAAACCAGTTTAACAATGTTCAATTAAGGTAACCAATGAATAACCTACTTATCCAACTTTGTTATCAAGATGGAAGGTTAGTCGTGCAAAGTGCAGGTTATTTACAGGTTATACTTAGAAAAACTTTCATAGATTATGAAATATAAAAACCAAACTTGATTTTTGTTTTAATTTTAGAAGATGACCTGATGGTCGGGCAAGCTTTTGTCTTCCTCACGGCCGGTTTCGAAGCGACCGCTATAATTATGAACATGACATTTTACCAACTGTCCAAGAATCCCGGGATACAGGAACGAGTCAGGGAGGAGATAAATGAGAAAGTACGCGAATACGGCAGCCTCAGCTTCGACTCCGTCAAGGATATGACCTACCTGGACATGTGCTTGAAAGAGACAATGAGGATGTACCCGCCGGCCCAGGTCCTCTTCAGGACCTGCACGAAAGAGTATACATTTACCAACGGGCTCGTCGTCAAACCGGGCGAGAAATTAATGATCCCGGTTTACGCAATTCATAGCAGCGATGAGTACTACCCTGACCCGACGAAGTTCGACCCTGAACGCTTCGGCCCCGATGTCTTCCAGCGGCCGTGCACTTTCTTGCCTTTCGGCGAAGGTCCGAGGGTCTGCATAGGTAACCGAAATGATTTATTTAAAAAAAAATTATAATTAATTTAATGCATTTTCCAGCGATGAGGTTCGCGATACAACAGATGAAATTCGGCCTTGCAAAGGTCCTCATGTCCTACAAGATCAAAGTCAACCCTAAAACAAAAGAACCGATTGAACTCAATAAAAAATCTTTCGTCACCACTACAAAATACCCGATTTACTTCGACCTCGAAGTGATTTCTTCTTAAACTTAAAACAGGATTTTTTTCCCTTTTGTACGATTTTATCTTAAATACATAAGGTTATACCAAAGAAAAAATATGAAATCAATAGACACAAATGAAATGCACTTGTAAAAAAATCTACGAACAAGAACGCTTATTTATTGATTATTACTAAAAAACGTAGAGGTTATGCATTGGTACTAGGCTTGGCAGTTCTAAGAAAAGTAGGTCATTTACTAATTACAAGACGACACAGAAGCATTACAAGCATTTTCTATGGATATCAAGCGTTACGACAAACAAAGGTTTTCCATGGAGAGGTTACGTTTAGGATATCAAGCAAAAATTAGTTGCTTTATGATATCACTGAATGACTTGGTTGAATGTATGAAAAGCAGGCTATTTAATGTTTATCCCTTAAAGCAAAGTAGGTAGTGTAATAGTTATCTAATTGGATGGAGCAGGTAGGTAATTTATTTGGTTATCCATTGAGTCATGTATGTTCTGTAATGGTCATCTGGCAAGAGTTGGCTATTCTCCTAATGCAGGTTATGAATTGATTATATGCCACAAGGTTACCCACATATAAAGAGGGATATAATTTACTGGTTATAAGCTGAGAAACGAACATTATACGAGTTCTCCATCGAGACGTTTAGGTTATCAAGTGAAAGTGTTTTTGTTTGATGTGTTCAGTGAACTGACTGGATTAATCAATGGAAAGGTCGTTATTCAATGGTTATCAGTTTAAAGCAGTAGTTTATTAGCTATATATTTGGAGAACATACGTTGGTTATCCGTCAGACAAAAAGTAGTTAGGTTGAATGTTCTATGAAAAGTACGTTTTTATTAATTACACCATCCCAGATGCTTAGTCAACATGGAACCACCTTCGAAAATTTAGTCCACAACATACAAACTCACCCTCTTTTTGTCTAGACCTCCCGATTATCTCAATTCCCATTTTGTATCTCCTCTTCCGATCCTAATACATAATATTGCCAAAATTTCGTCTTTTCTTGTCCTACCTCAGCTGATGTTAACGCTATATGAAAATCAAGAAGAGGATGAGAGAAAATCCTTTGATTCTATCCATCGTTCATAAAGCCTATCTAAACTTGAAGTATTTTTCTTTTCCGACAGTACCATCCCATGTTTCCACTGTTTCCTTACCTGCCGTTTTCAAGCATTATTCATCAGCAAGTATTCCTCATGGTCACATGCTACTTCTTTTCATTAACTTCAGGCGTTCCTCAAGGCTCTAGCATTTCCCCTGTTGTCGTCAGATTTACACCAATGACCATCCAGCGTTGTGATTACCACCTCTAAGCCGACGACTCCCCAATTTATAAGTCCTTCCATTTCTCCGATCTACATTTGACTATCCACAGAATTCAGCAAGATCTGAATTCGATAAACGGATGGACACATAAAATCAACCTAGAATTAAATGCGAGAAAGTCTAAAGCTCTTATTATAAGACCACCACCTGAAATCCCTCCCATCCGTCGTTTCACTATCAACAACCATTTCCTTCTGCTACCTTCGACCGAAACCTTTCCTGGAAACCACACATCTTCCAGATTTCCATAGGCTCATCCTATTTTTATTTCAAATTTCGCATTTCTTGTTCTTACCCTATACGATTACAATTAAGTTGCTAACCCCCAATTGCATAATATAATTTTTATTTTCTTTCAAATAGTCTCTTCCGTCGGAATGTTAATCAAGTACAAACACACTCGACCCAAGGACAATAAAAATGATAAAGCCGAGTGGGGATTCGGAATGAATTGGTCCTTCGTTTCATTAGCTGATTGTCATGTCGCCGGTGCTTGCTTCCCTCCTGGCCGTGGTGGCGTCCCTTCTCGCCTACGCCGTCTACAGGACGAAGAAGATCTACAGGACGTGGAAGGATCGAGGGGTGAAATACGAGGAACCGGTGCTTTTCCTAGGTGAGATCACAGATAACGAGCTTTTCATCTTTCGTGCCATTTCGACGCATGAAGTGACGTTTAGACCGCCCATTTGGTAAACTTTCAACTATCCCACTTCCGTACTAATTATGCCCCTATTCTCATTACAAAAAGGACACCCAGGACTAGCAAAAATACCACTAAAAACCAAGTTCAAAAGATCCATTCTGATTGTATTTAAGGTTTACTAAGTTTGTATACAAGTCGATTGATTTTGTATCTATTAGTTTTCTTATAAAAACTATTTGGCCTAAGGTTATTCTAACAAGAGTAGGTTGTTTATTGGTTAACTTTTGGGGCAGTAGGTTATTTATTGGTTAACTTTTGGGGCAATAGGTTATTTATTCGTTATCTATTGACCAAAAATTAGGAAAAGCTAGCTATCGGCCTAGTATTAGTTATACGTATTTTTAGAAAAACATTTTATATGCTAATCGAAGAAATCTATATGTTGGCCTCTGTGAGAATGAATGGTAGCAAATGTAGGTTATTGTTCTCTTAATTCTTAGGCAAAAACAAATTAAAATTTACAATTTTATAATAAGAAATAAAATAAATTGTAAATTTATAATTTTCAAAAATCTTACGAGTAAACTGTAAAGGATGGGTGACTTGGTGATACGAGATGAATTAGCTGAAAAATAAGGTTATTCTACGAAAAACAGGATATTTATTGTAGTTCAATTGGGCATAGAAGGTTATTCTATGGTTGCATAGCACAAATAGTTAGTTGTTCTCTCGAGTGGTAAGGTATTTGATCAGAGATAGTAGGTTGTGCAAGGGTTACACGGCTAAAAGGTAGTACTTTCATAGAAAAAGTAAGTTGTTAAAGTGATTATTACACAAACAGCAGAGTTCGTTTATGTAACGGTTATCTCAAAAAAATTCCTACAAGTAAACTACAAAGAATAGGTTGCTAGTTTACGCCAAGAATTATTGGAAAAATACGGTTATTCTAGTAAAAGTAGGACATATATGGGCCATACACTGGGGGAGAAGGAAAATTGTGTTATGGTTATTCTCTTAAATACAAGGTTATTCATTAAAAGAAAGTAGATTATCTGTGTTATGTGGTTAACTAGCAAGAGTAACTTGATTGTTGATCTCTTGATTTTTGTTGAGATAAAGTAGGTTATATATTGGTTATCCCGTTAAAAATCTCTTTGTTATATATAATGACTGGTAGGTTATTTATTGGTTTTATATTGGTAAAATAGAAGTAATGCAATGTTACTCCGTTAGGAGAAAGTAGGTTATGTGCTGGCTATTATCCGAAAATAGATTAAGAGAATTTATCAATTAACCGCACGTTATTTATGGTTATGCTGTAAGAAAATTTAGGTTATGCTATAGTAATCTAGCAAAAGTACCTTGTTATTCTCTGAATAATGTTTATTTGCTGGTTATGAAACGATAAGTTATTTGATTTTTGGATGAATTTACGAAAAATAACTTTAAAAAAAACCTACTATTTAATAGTTATGCGTGTTATTAAGGTAAGGTAATGTATTAGTATCGGTTTGGATCAGATTGGTAATGTGCTAGTTCTCATTTTGACAAAGCAGGTTATGTCCTGAATCTGTTAATAGACGGTAGGTTATGTGTTGTTTATCCAGCTGACAAACAATTTAGTGCGTCATATTCTACTAAACTATTAGGTTCCATGTAAATACTATTTTTGGTTAAGGTTATTCTAACAAAAGTAGATTGTTTATTGGTTATCTATCAGATACAAACTTGCTTGGTTTGATTTAACTTTGAAAAAGTAAGGTTATCCCTTGTGATAAGGTAAGTAACATTATTTATCAATTTGGAGAAGGTTCGTTAGTTATCTATTTGGTTATCCTTCAGGCGAAAGTAGCCGGGTGGTAGTTTGTAGAAAGTGGGTTATTCGTTAAAAGATAGGTTATGTACTGTATTTCTTTGTTCATCTACAAGGTTATAGGTTTATAAAGAGTTGAGTTTTTTTGTTAGTTGTACATTTACAAATTAAGTAGGTTATTTAAAAGTTATCAAATGGGAAAAGGTATTGATTGACAAAAAAAGAAGGTAGGTAAACTAATAAATATCAAATAAGTAACTAATAAATATTGGCTATCGTCCAGACACAGTTTCTTGGGTTAGTTGGATAACTGTATTAGTTATATACTTGGAGAAGGCAGATTTGGTTGTCAAACTAATTGCTTGAAACGAGGTTATTTGCAATTATTTCTCTATAAAGAGGTTGTTGGCTTTATTGGTTATCCACCTACAAATTTGGTAGGATATTTAAGGGTTATATGACAAACGTTGACACTAAAAATTTGAATTGAAGGAAATTTCCTGAGGACAGTCCTCCAGAAGGCTAACCAAGGCGAGAGGTTGAAAGAGGTGTGCGACCAGTTCCCGGACGAGAAGGTGGTCGGCTTTTACGAGTTCATCCGTCCATCCTTAGTCATCAAAGACGCCGAATACGTCGAGGCTGTACTCATCAAAGACTTTCCTCATTTTGTGGACCATGGATTCGAAATCAACGAGACGACGAACCCGCTTGACGTCAACCTTTTCACCATGACCGGAAAAAGGTAAGGCTTCCATTGTGAAAATTTGGTGTCATGCACTCACTGTTGTTTTTTTTGTCAAGGTGGAGAGCTTACAGAAACAAGCTTTCACCGATATTCACAACAGGGAAGTTGAAATCCATGTACGGACTTATGACGGACATAGCTAACAACTTAATGAAAGCTATAGACAGAGAGAAAACGGAATGTCTGGAGTTGAAAGACGTCCTGGGACGTTTCTCCATGGACGTGATCGGTTCTTTCGCGTTCGGCATGGACGCCAACACCCTGACCGATCCCGAATCCAAATTCAGAAAAATGGGGAAAAAAGCCTTCGACTTCAACTTCAAACAATTCCTCAGGTTCATGTTTCTAACCAATTTCCCAGAATTGTCCAAAAAGTTCGGCTTGTCTTTCAACCCTAAAGACATCCAGGATTATTTCGTCAACGCCATCAAGGACACGATTGACTACCGGGTAGAGAACAAAGTCCGTAGGAACGATTTCCTCGACCTTATGCTCCAGCTCAGGGAAAAAGGTTCCGTGGAAATAACGACGAAAGACCCCAGTGATGATTACCTAGCGATCAGCAATGAGACTTACACGACAGACAAATTTGGTAAGCTAAGGCCTAGTATGCACTGGGAGTCTGAGTAGACTTTTTGAATCTCCGGAGAGTCTCGGCTGGGTCTAGCCTGAGTCCGGGCTGCCCCGACTCATGTTCCGATGAATCTGGTGTATTGCGGGCTAGAATTTTCGGACTCTTGAATCCCATCCGATTTGGGTTTCTTTGACTCAATGTTGCGCAACATATGCCATTGCGGACGTGAATCGGAACAAGAGCTCTTGTTTCATTTGTTTAGTTGACGTTGTAGTGAGTGTTTTCTTGAAGATTTTGACAGTGTCTTGTATAAAGGTACAATATACTTCAAAATCTTCAAAAAAAACACTCACTACAACATACCGAGTACCGAGTTGACATTACAGTTTATCGAAGACATGCATTCCTATCGGTGTTTGTGGGATGTATCATTCACTAATAATAATACAGAAATCTGGAATTGAAAAACCAAACATTGAACGGTTTAGCCCAAAAATTCAGTATTTCCGTCGCCGAAACTGAAAAAAATACACCCTTTAAAAAGGACGGTTCCGTTTGTTTTGAAATACTGAAGGTGTACATAAGGCTTGTATACGAGTCTCCACTCGCTAGGAACCGGAGAGTGGCAGCTAATCTGTTGGCCGGAGAGATAGATTCCCGATTCCCGAAAGTTGGTATCTTTCTTGGAAATTTGACCGCCAACTTTCATTAAAATGGTTTCGGAATCGGTCGGGGACATCCTCAAAAAATGTCTGAACCTTCGCCATCATTTAATCTCAACGTGTCCCAAAGATTTTTCCCGCGCTGATTTCCGCCGTGAAATATTTACCGAACCCACCATTTTTTTGGGCGTTTTTTAATGCACCTCCGATTGGATTGACTACGTACAATGCACTAAAGAGCAAGGGAAATTCCTGAGAGAGCTAGTTCCTCCGTCATTTTCGCAGGCACTGATGAATGTGAACTGAATCTTCGTCTGGACGGTTCTTTGTCGCGGAGCAGAGTCGGGGCTGCATCGCAACAATGAATCTACGCAGTCCCGACTCTGCCCCGCAACATGAATCGATTCAAAGAATCTCAGTGCGTACTAGAATTAAGAGGCAGATAGAGGTACGATAAGATAACCAATTAATAACCTACTTATCCAAACATGTTTTTAACAAGGAAAGTTATTCATACAAAAACAGCATAACCTTTCAAAACTGTAGGTTTTACATAGATTTTGAAATACAAAAGACAAATTTGATTTTTTTCATTTTAGAAGTGACAGATGACCTGATGGTCGGGCAGGCTTTTATCTTTCTGACGTCCGGTTTCGAAGCAACCGCTATAATAATGAACCTGATGTTTTACGAACTGTCCAAAAATCCCGTGATACAAGAACGAGCCAGGGAGGAGATAAATGAGAAAGTACGCGAACACGGCAGCCTCAGCTTCGACTCCGTCAAGGACATGAACTACCTGGACATGTGCTTGAAAGAGACATTGAGGAAGTACCCACCGGCCCAGATCCTTTTCAGAACCTGCACTAAAGAGTACACATTTCCCAACGGACTCGTCGTCAAACCGGGCGAGAAATTGATCATCCCGGTTTTCTCAATTCATCGCAGCAATGAGCACTACCCGGACCCGATGAAGTTCGACCCCGAACGCTTCAGCCCTGATGTATTCCAGAGGCCTTGCACTTACTTGCCTTTCGGCGAAGGTCCGCGGGTCTGCATAGGTAACCGAAATTTAAAATGAAAAAAATTGTAATTAATTGAATGTTTTTTCCAGCGATGAGGTTCGCGACACAGGAGATGAAATTCTGCCTTGCAAAGGTCCTCATGTCCTACAAGATCAAAGTTAACCCTACAACAAAAGAACCGATTGAACTAAAAAAGAATTCGTTCATCACCACAACAAAACACCCCATTTACTTCGACCTGGAAATGATTTCTTCTTAAACTTAAAAAAGGATTTTTTTTCCTTGTACGATTTTATTCAAACCAACGAGAAAATTCAATTCAATGTGCCAACGAGAAAATTTGAAATCAATAAACGCCCAAGAAATGTAATTGTTAAAAAAAGAACAAGACCGCCTAGTTATCGATTATTACTAAAAAACAAAGAGGTGATGCATTAGTTCTCCAACAAAAAGTAGTTTATATATTCATTAAAGTTGATCATTTTTGGAAAAATAGATTATTTACTAGTTATAAGATTACAAATAAACGTTGTAAGAGTTCTCCATAGAGAGGTTATGTTTAGGTTAACAAGTGAAAAATTATTTGTCTGAAGCGGTCATTGAACTGACTGGATTAATCTAGTTGGAAAGCTGGTTATTTAATGGTTATCCGCTATTATGTATGTAATAAGTGTATTAGTTATAAACTTGGAGAACATAGGTTATGCGTTGGTTATCCATCAGACAAAAAGTACTTAGGCTTGGTTCTTCTATGAAAAGTAGGTCATTTATTGTAACAAGACGACAAGTTAGCGTTATAAGCGTTTTCCATCGAGATATTACGTTTAGGATATCAAGCAAGAATTGGTTGCCTCATGACCTCACTGAACTGCCTGGATGAATCAATTAAAAGTAAGTTATTTACTATTTATCCCTTAAGATAAAATAGATAGTGTAATTGGAGAGGTACGTAATTTATTATCCATTGAGGGATGTAGGTTCTGTTATGGTTATCTGGCAAGAAATGGCTATTCTTATAATGAAGGTTATGTATTGATTATACGCCAAAAAATTATCCATACATAAAGAGGGATATAATTTACTGGTTGTAAGACGAAAAATAAACGTTATAAGAGCTATCCATCGAGAAGTTACGATTAGGTTATCAAGTGAAAAATTATTTGTTTGAAGTGTTGATTGAACTGACTGGATTAATCTATGGAAGGTTGGTTATTTAATGGTTATCCACTGTTTAAGGTGGTAGTTCATTGTATATTTGGAGAAGACGGACATTATATATTTGGAGAAGCGTTGGTTACCCTTCAGACAAAAAGAATTTAGGCTTGGCTGTTCTATGAAAATTGGTTCTTTTACTGATTACAAGACAACAAAGAAGCTTTATAAACGTTTTCCTTCGAGAGGTCAAGTTTAGGTTATCGAGCTAGAAATTAGTTGGTTAATGACCTAAATGAACGATGTGAGACCGACTTGATAAAGTCCTTGGCAAAACATCTTGTACTTATGGGAATGGTACCGTCTTGCACCAATGACAATATTTCTGTCCTCCCGTACTGTCTCAATGCGAGATTCACTATAAGGCCTCCTATTTGTACTTCCAGTCTCTCGGAATCGGGCTAAAGCCTCTGCAATATCCACTTGCCGGTGACCTCGATGACTCATTCTCACAATAATTTTGCGAACTTCTGGTTCAACATGATGGTCCTTCCATGGTTAAAGAGAATACAGCTGGATTAAAATTGAGAAAAGACAAGAAAAGATGTTTGCTTACATTATGAGTAATTAATCCACATACGCTTAGTGGTCCTAATTGATCATATTACTTATTCCAATTAATTTTTCTTTTTATCTAAGATTTTTGGTTGATACGAAAAACTGTCATGAGCGGGATTCGAACCCACTACCTTCGCATAGATTTGAAAATATGGCAAAAGAGGGAAAATTCGAACGGTAGTAGTTTGAGGTAAGGAGTATACAGTGTAAACGTAATAAGTATAACCTGTAAATGAACTGCATTTTGCAAGGTGCAACCTTCCTTGTTGAGAACAAAGTTGGATAAGTAGTAGTATTCATTGGTTACCTTTTCTTGGTTTAATAGTTAACCAATGAAAAAATTTCTTCTATTGAGGAACAATACAATAACTTTCAACATCTAAATTCGTTAGATGGATATCACATGGATAACCTACCTGCTTGATAGATAACCTACTGGTCAGGTAGGTTACTCATTGCTTATCGGAAAGTAGTCACGAATAACTGAATTCTCAATGGATATGATATGAACAATTTACCTTTTTTAATCATAATAAAAGAAAAACCTACTTTTTAAAGGATAACCGGTGAATAACCTACACTATGGGTGAAAAATTATTACTTTATTAGATAATCTATTTTAAAAAAACATATTAAGTTTTATGAGTTTTCTACGAGGGATACAGGTTGCGTAATGGTTATCTGGCAAGAGTCGTTAGTTGTTTACCGAAGAGTAAGTTATCGAGCCATCCCTAAATAAGACTATGTTCCGATAACCAACGAATGACCTATTTATCCAATCAGGTTATCTATTAAACAGGTATGTTATTCATATGTTATCGATCTAATAGTTAGTTATTAAGATTAGAATGTTTTTTTTAAATTTTTTTAATAGGTTGTCTAATAAAGAAATAATTTGTCACCAATAGTGTAGATTATGCACCGGTTATTCCTTAAAAAGTAGGCTTTTCTTGGATTATCATTAAAAAACGTAAATTCTTCTTATGATATCCGTAGAGAAATCGGTTATTCATGACTACTTTCCGATAACCAACCTGACCATTAGGTAGTAGGTTACCTATCAAGCGGGTAGGTTATTCATGTGTTATCCATCTAACGAATTTAGATGTTGGATGTTAATAGATTTCTCCTCAATAGAAGGAATTAATTTTTTCCATAGGATAACAATTAAAACAAGAAAAGGTAACTAATCAATAACCTACTTATCCAACTTTGTTATCAACAAATATTACATTTTTTCCTTCTTCTCGGGAAAAAAATTAATAAAGCTTAAATAGTGGCGGGACGAACCGAGAAGAGAAGCGCAAGAAGCAGGAAGCAATTCGCGGCCTGCAAGATCCTGGTCGGGAGGGCACTGGTTCCGAGACTGAAAAAAACAAAGAAAAAAAGGCAAGGGGAGTCAGTTGGATATAAACCTTCTTAGGAAGAGGTGGTCTCCGCGAGGAAAAGAAAATATTGTTTTTTTTTAAGTGTATGTGTGTGCGTGGTTTGTGAACCTAGTCGGGCTGATCGAAGAGTTCCTACGAAGAGGAAGGGGCTGATCCCGGCAAGTGAGGAGTGATCCCGTGAGTTGGTACATTTCCAATTTCTTATCAGGCCTGATAATTCTGGACTAGAGACATTAGCTATAAGTTTCGGCCTTTTGTTAGCTTTTAATTTAAAAGGATTTGCCTATGTACTTGCATGTAAATAGAATAGTTGTGATTAGTATTCTTTTTTTTTTTCAATCGTAGTTTTAAACCCTAAGTAAGATAATACCTTAAGATATCTTGCTTGTGTTAACGATTTACTCGGATAGAAGCAGGAAGAACTTCATCATTTAGCTCTCATCATAACCCTGGTTGGAAGAGCCATCAGAAAGAAGAGAGCCAGAAGCGCTACATCGCTTCCCTTCCTTTTCCCTTTCTTCCTTTTGTTCTACTTTTCTTTTCCTTTTTATCCCCTGGTTTCGGTATTTATCCTTCCCCAAAAATACCGTGGCGCTCAACGTAACACCTATAAATAAACTTTCACCTCCTCACCGACCATCACTTGTCTCTCCCTTCAACACGTCTCCCCCTTCAACACTGAGCTACCGCCAACGTAAGTGTAGCCGCAGTAAGGAAGCTGTAACAATTTTGGCGCCCAACGTGGGGCCCGTCATAAGAGGAGAGAGACGCCAGTATAGAAAAACCACTAGGTCTTTTCTACGTGTCCCGCTTCTAGGCCCTTAGAAGAGCTTTGCAGGTAACTGCCTAGTGGTCGTGGCTCAAATTCCCCCGCCGGAACTTTGCGGCGCCACAATAGCGCCCACAGGATGGGCTTCGCGGAGGCGTCCGGCTGGGACATGGGGGAAGAGCAATGTGGCTAGCTCTGTAGCTATGGCATGATGCTTAGGCGGCACTGCTTGCTAGGCAGGCCAGCCTTTTTGCCGCATTACTGCCTTCCAGTATCTTATGGTGACCTTAAAGCCATCTGGGCTAGCAACGATGCCTTGCAATGAACTGATGTTGGCTACCTCGGTATTTGTTTCAAACAGCCATCGAGTTCGATGGATGCTATACATTTCGCACTCTAAAATAACATGTTCAGCTGTCTCCTCGTTTCCGCAGGGCCATAACGGGCTGGTCTTTAGGCCAAATCTAAACAATTTGGCCGAAAAGTCGCCGTGTCCCGTCAGGAGTTGCGCCATGTAATGGTCCACATGGACATGCTTTGCCTGGGCTCTTCTTTCTACGCTCGGGAAGATTCGGTACGTGTACCTGCCCATGATCGACCCGTTCCACCGGCGCTGCCATTCCACAAACATCCATGTGGTGGCATCCTGTGCATTGGTTATAGGAATGTTAGGCTGATGCCCATTTGCTCCCAGGCGGCGGACACAGCCCTTGCCTGCAGATCGAGTGGTGGCCTTCCGGCTATGACCTGGAGGGCATCTGTCGATGTCATCCGGTACGCCTGTGTTACAACTAATAGCGCTGTTCTCTGGGCACTCAAGGCTATTGCCCAGTCAGCCGCCCGTAGCCCGCGCACCCACGCTGGGGCCGCATACAGGAGGACCGACTGGCACAATGCCCAATAATATATCTGTCTGCTCCGGTAGGAGACGCCCCACGCCGCGCCACACATGGCCCTTATGGCAGCGACACGAGCTGGGATTTTATCTCTTGCGTACCGAACATTGGCTCCGAACTTCAATCCTGCGGACATCTTGACTCCCAAGTAGTCACGACATCTGGTGCCCTAATCGTTTGTCCGTCAATTCTTATTACTGGAGGCGACCTCATATTTAATGACCCTTTCAAGAGCATTAGCTCGGTCTTTTCCGGTGCCAGGTTCAGCTTACCTCTCCTGCACCATGAAGTCAAGACTGCAACCACCGTATGGCCTTGTGCCTCAATTCCAGCTTTGGTATTGGCAAGCAGAACGACCGCCAGATCGTCTACGTAGGCGATCGCGTTAAGGCCCGCGCTCTCCATCTCTCTCAATGCGCCATCATAGAGCAGGGACCAGAGGAACGGGCCGAGCACGGAACCCTGCGGTATCCCCATCTCAACGACCCGCTCGCAGTCCTTTCCGTACTCCGGCAATGTTACGCGTCGGTCACTCAGATAACTGATGATAAGAGCACATAAGTCA